TTGAAAATGCTCGAATGAAAGTACAGCTGGATAAGTGCGAATTTTTCAAGGACGAAGTAGAATTCCTTGGCGTCATAATATCACGCAAGGGTATTAAGACAAATCCTGATAAAGTAAAAGCTATCCAAGAAGTCCCCTATCCAAAATCACTGAAAGATCTGAGATCATTTCTTGGCTTCTCAGGTTATTATAGACGTTTTATCCGTGATTACGCTAAATTACGAAGGCCACTGATCTACATGCTCAGAGGAGAAGACGGGCGAGTTTCAAAAACTGCCTCAAGCAAAAAGCTAATCACACTGAATGAAAATGCAAAACAGGCCTTCCACCAAATTAATAAATTCATTAGTATCAGAAGAAGTTATACTCACATACCAATATGTTAAGAGAGAATTTCACCAGCTGCTGATGCATAGAACTATGCTCTAGGTGCTATTTTAGAGCCAGCAGGTAAACCTATTACGTTCATATCAAGATCCTTATCAAATACTTTGTTTATACCTATGAAGAAACCGCATTAACAAAATACCGATTTGATTCGACGCATATTTCTTTCTAACGTTTATTCCTCGGTCTTTATAGCGCACTCGATTAAATCATATTGAAAAGTAAACAAACCCCGTTACTTTTATTCGATATTTATTTAATAATAAATTTGCGCGGTGGACCGAAATGGAAGCGAATAGCAATACAAATTTATTATAATAATAAATACAATTAAAAACGGGCTGCATAAAGAAAAATAGCCAATTTTGATTTTGCGTTAAATGAATTATTCGTTTATACGGGTTTTCTAATCGGTGTGAGAAATAAAAAATCGATTTGAAAACAAATTTGAGTCAATACACTTTTCGATTTGAACGCGCATTGCAATTTTGTTTATGCATCTGATTTGAACCACACCGAACTGACTCACAGCGCTTTATGTGTCGGTATGAACAAGGTAAAAGACAGAAGAAAGTTACGCCGCAAATGAAAAAGAAATGCTGGCGATAATTTGGGCACTGAACACGTTAAGGAATTATCTCTACGGTTCAGCCAAAGTAATAATCTACACCGACCACCAACCCCTTACATTCGCTTTAAGCAATAAAAACCATAGCGCAAAAATGAAAAGGTGGAAATGCATTTTGGAAGAATATAAGTACGAGCTCAAGTATAAACCTGGTAAAACTAACGTAGTTGCAGACGCCCTTTCTATACCCTCAAAATCTGAAGTAAACACCCTAACGACAACCGACCATAGTGACGAAAGCTCTGCACATATTCTCTTACCTGCTACAGAAGCTCCAATTAACGCCTTTAAGAACCAATTATTTATACTAATTGGAAATCAAAACAACAACACTTTTGATCTCCCTTTCCCCAGTTATCACAGACATACTATAACTAAAACTGACTACTCCACACAGGACTTAATTGATACTTTTAAACAACGTTTGGATCCAGCTCTTGTTAATGGGCTCTACACAATAGAAAATATTATGGGTAGAATACAAGAATTTTATCCATTACATTTCAGAAACATAAAAATCCACTTTACACAAAACGTATTAGAAGACATCACAAACGAAACCGAGCAAGAAGAAATAATAATAAAAGAACATTAGTGAGCTCATAGAAATAGCCGCGAAAATAAAACTAAAATTCTTAAAAAATACTATTCTCCTAGCATGTACTCCAAAAAAGAGAAAAAAGTGAAGCAATGTTCAACTTGCCTTCAGCAAAAATACGATAGGCATCCCCCAAAACCAGAAATCCAATCCAACCCAATTCAACAAAACCCTGGAGAAATCGTTCACATTGACATTTACTCCACAGAGAAAAGCTTTATTCTCACTTCTGTCGACAAATATTCTAAATACGCACAAGTCAAAATAATACCATCCAGGGCAGTAGAACACATAAAGGACTCCTAAACTTGTAGTAATCTGTAACGAGAAATCACTGAACTCCGCTTCAATTTCGTCGTTATTAAAGGATCAAATGAATATCGAAGTATATGTCACACCCCCTTACGCTAGCACGAAAAACGGACAAGTGGAGATATTTCACTCCACGCTTTCTGAAATTATGAGATGTTTAAAATCCGACAACAATAGTCTCACTTTTGAAGAGTTACTTTTCAAATCTGTCAAAGAATACAACTCAACAGTTCATTCCACCACTAAGAAAAAAACCGTTAGAAATATTCTTCAGTACCAGAGTTACCACAGACCCCCAAGAGTTAGAAAGACATAGACATCAGAATGAGCCTTACTTACAAGGAAGCAAGTAAAGGACCTGGATTATCACAATAAAAACAGACAAAAAACGAAAGATTACTCTGTAGGTGAGGAAATATTCGTTAAAATCAATAAAAGATTGGGCTCTAACCTATCATCGAGACATAAAAAGGAAATAGTCGCAGAGAATAACAGGACTACAGTCAAAACTCAATCAGGTCGAATCGTTCACAAAGGTGACATCAGAAGTTAGTCTCACCATTTAAGGCGTACTTGGTTAACAAAGCCTCATAACAAGAAAAACAAAACAAATATTTCAATTGAATTTCTTCACACTAATTTAAGTTCGCATCCATCGAATTAAACTTATTGCAAGAAATTAAATTGAAGGAAATTATATTAAATTAAATTACTTTGAATAAATTAAAATTAAATCGAAATTTAATATAAATAAACAAAGTTTCATTTGAATATACTTAAAAAATAGATAAATCGAGTAAATTGCCATAGGCGTTCGATAATTAGAAAGTAGGAAAATCGAGTCAAATGCCATAAGCTTTCGATCTTTAGCTAATAAATTAAATCGTTATAAATGCCATGGGTTAACGATATAAATTAAAGTTAGTTAAATAGCTATAGGTCTATAACGATATTTTTTTACAGGCTCTTTGCCTCCACGGCTTATGTGGAAACCCAAATCCTTGACTATACAAATGCACAGCTTATAATCTTAAATGCCGGGACAGCAAGAATACAGGAAGGAAAATTTAAAATCATTCATATAATAGATACGAAACAGTATGACGAACTAACAACAGAACTTGAAAATACAATCGCGCAAAATATCCAAACCAACCATCCGCTACATCCTTTTCTCAGTCACGAAATAATCCAAATTCGCACACTCTTTTCAAAATTTACTCCTAGAACTAAAAATAGACGGTCATTCGATTTTATTGGCACAGCATGGAAATGGATTGCTGGTAGCCCAGACCACCATGACTTAGAAATAATTAATAAAACCATTGGAAATTTACTAGAAAATAACGATAGACAAGTAGTAATAATCAAAAAATTTCTGGATAAAATTAAAGAAGCAAGTAATAAAACTAATGAAATACTTAAAAATCTAAAAGAAAATGTAAACATCAAATTAGAATTAGGTCTTAAAATTAAATATAAATTACAATTAATTAAAGAAGAGCTTATCAATATTGAATACGCCTTACATTAGGCAAAATCAAATACTGTAAATATTTCGGATTCGGATCGGATTTGATATTATCGATCACCGCTACCGAATTAAAGCAGATAAAGGATTACATCACCTCCAAGGATGTATGGAACAAGCTGCACAACATCTATCAATCCAAAGGACCAGCTCGGAAGGCAATGTTATTGAAGTCACTTATATTATTGAAGATAAAGAACGGCCAGGATATGCGGCACTATGTGAAAAACTTTTTCGACATCGTAGACAAGATTCAAGAAATGGAACTCGAAGTCATTGATGGCCTGCTAACCGTGCTGTTGTTGCATAGTATCCCCGAGGAGTACGAGTCATTCAGGATTACGATCGAAAGTCAAGAAAAGTTACCAGAACCAGAAGCGTTGAAAATAAAGCTACTGGAGGAATACGAAGCGCGTAAACGCAACCATAGTGAAAGCACATCCGATGCAATGTTCGTCCTCAAAAATCCCCAGAGCCGCAGCAAAAATTTCGGCAAGGGGAAATTTAAATTTACCTGCCACTCCTGCGGAAAAATTGGTCATAAGGCTAAGGACTGCAGATCGAAGATACAGTAGGCAAAACCGAGAGAGAATGAGTTGAAACGAAACGAATCCACAAGAACTGCAGAAGTCGCCATGCAGGTGAATGCAGAGCCCGAGCCATGGTGTCTTGACTCCGGTGCATCTTCACATATGTGTGGGGAGAAGGAAAAGTTTCAAGGACTTAAGCCATCGGAAATTACTGTTTTGCATTTGGCCAACAACGAGTTAACGAAGATTTATGGAAATGGTATCGTGAAGGTCGTCACGACAGAAGGCATTACAGCAAAATTTGAGGATACACTTTACGTTCCTGACCTGCGATCAAACCTATTATCAGTTGCAAAAATAACGGACCATGGTTTTAGAGTAATATTCACTGAAAGAGGCCACTGTCGTACGTCCGGAAACAGGTGAAAAGGTAATGG